ATATCAAATACTGTTTACAGCTCTCTCTCCAAATGCAGCGGCATATTTATACCACACCGTTATCCAAACCAATTTTGCGAGGGTTTTCTAAAAACAGTAAAGGTCGGTTTGCAGATTAAGTTTAAGTAACTGGTAACTGCTACGGTATTTTTTGGACTAGAAAAAGATAAAAATTTATTAAAAGCTGGTGTCTATAAATCTGCTTTTGAAACTTTAGTAGCATAACTTTTCACGCACAATACTTGCCTAAATTTATTTGGTCATTGAACACAATTGTTTTAGACGGCTTACCTGTCTTTTCTCACCTTCGTAGATTTCGTACTACAGATGACTTTTATCATTCTTTTTTTGACCGGCAGTTTAATAAAAGCAGCAAAATCAATCGACGTATCGCGAAAAGTTTGTCAAGACTAAATATTTCAGGTACGTTTTATAATTATGAATAGAACAAAATTAACTAACTTAAAATAAATTTTTATACTCTGTAAGCCAAATAAATCTAATATATTTCTGTAAAAAAATTTTTTTTTTAGAATATGCAGTTCCTAATGGATCTAACTGTGAAAAGCCTGAGGTACATCTTTCCACTTATATTTTTTTCTTCAAATGATCTAATTTAATGTTTTATTAATCTGCTTTCAAACACAGCAAATACGTAATAATTGTAAAAATAAATATGATTGAAATTAATTCTACTTTATTACAACTGCTTTTCAAATAACTGCATTTGAGAAGAAAATGGAATTTTGTAATTTTAAGTATAAAATAAAGTCTAAGACTAAATTTAAGTACTAATCTTTTATTTTAGAAATGGAAAGAAATTATATTTTTTAGGCAGTTTATAAAAAAATTTAAAAATTTGTAATACTTAACTGCATATCTTAGTTTTACAACTTTTATTATTAACCATTTTATATATACAACTAGAAATATTAACATATAAAATAAAGGTTAAATTTTTTTTCAGAACAACTTCGAGATCAAAGACGAAGAAATAGCGGGAAGTAAAAGTGATTCTGAAAATGAACAATTTTGGCTTTTAAAACAACGGTGAGTTTGTGGATGAGCATTCTATTAATTAAAACTACTTGACAAATAGTTTGTTTAGTGAAACATTTTTTTGTTTTTATCCTCTAAAAACAATATTGAAAAATCTCAAAAATAATAGTAATACAGATGTATTTTAGATTTATAAGCGATCCAAGCTGTCTAGAAACTGACGAATATTGTCGTTATTCAACAGAAGAAGAGATTGCCGACACCGCTGAAAGGTATTCGTCATTATTTCTTAATGGACGTAAGGAGGTTATGATGGCGCTGAGTTGTTTACCTGAATTTGGAAGCTCTGAAGAACTGCAACTGAAAACAATATTTACTGTTATCATTGTAAGTTTTATGATTATTCAGTTTAATGAGATGATTTTATTCATTTTGCACCATGGCTAGTTGGGCAACCATATCATATTGGTACCTAAAAAGTGGTTTTCTCGCTGTTCAATATGGAACACTGTTTGCAGTTAACATATCGGTCTGTATACGGTAGTGTCGCAAGACGCCGTAGTAAGGTGTACGAGGTGCTCGACGATGAAATACCCACGAATAATGGTAACATGCATTTAGATTTAGCGCTGTATAGACATATGTATTGGAAAGCAAAAAATGAATGTGGGATGGCAAATGCTAAAGTAAGCTTTGCAGAAAATTAATAACGTGATTTGTTAAAAGTTTAATGTTGTAAAGATTCATCAACATTGGTAAATAAAAAATATAAAACTTCTTAAACTTTCTCAGAGCTTCTTTCAAAGCTTTTTATCATTGTAAAAAGTGAATTGTCAGATGATAAAACTGTAGAAGAAGCTTAACGAATTTTATTCAATCAAGAATTAATCATACAGTTTCATTATAAATGAAGTTTTTTTATGATTGCTTCGTGAGTTGACTTTACAATTATTTTATCCAAAAGTATCAGTTTTTTAGGAGGTAACATCACAGATTTGGTCAACGCTTTATGACTTTCCATCTTTAAAAACCTGTACCAGATTTAATCGGTTTATTCTGGAATGCGTATCTGTAGTATGGGATTTGGTGACTGGTATTGATGGTAAATTGCCACGGTAAGTACAAGCAAATTTTTCAAATTTTTGATTTTAAAGCTACGTGGGTAGTTTCTAAGAACAGCTTTCTCTAAGTGTTCATTCTCTCCCCTACTTTCTTTCTCCGCTGTTGTCCCAACACTCCTCTTCTTCTTTATTAAAAATAGTATCTTTCTGTTTTAGAATGACTATCGACTACGAGGGTGAAACGTTTGACCCAAACAAGCATCAACGTTTTCCAGACAGTTCGACAACTTCGACAGTAATACAGCAATTTCTGTGGCCTGCACTAATCAATACAACTGATAACCAATATTTGTGCAAAGCTTATGTGGTCACTTGAACTTAAAAATCTATTCCTTTTTTTCTACTCTATAGAACTGCAGGCGTTCTGTCCAAAAAAATCTAAAAATGAACGGTTAAGTTTCTTTTTGCTTGAAATTTTCAACTGGTATTAGAACAGATATTACTGGAGTTACTCTTCAAATACCGACTCCTCTTTAGCGCTCTAAGTTTGTCCGAACAGATGGCTTTAGAAGCTTTGCAGCTATAGCAAGCGTTATTAGATCTCTAAACCATCAAAAGTCATCAAAAACTGTGATTACACTTGCTTAAGCATCGAAGTAACAAACTGTTGTTAGATGCAGTAACAGATGCATTTATTTCATTTATTTTAAAAAGGAAACAAATTATACCAAAGAAAAGATCGAGGAGAACAAAGTGGAATTTTCTGTATCTTTCAAAAATACGATATTATCACTTACCATAAATACACATCATGTTTGTTAAAATATTAAATGAATAAAACAAGTCGAAAGAACATTTTAAAAAAAGAAAAAAAAAAGAATTAAGTGAGCAATTGAGCCGTAAAAATATGAAAGTAAATCATAACGTCAAAACAACCAAAAACAAAAACAATAGTAATAGTAAAAAAAAGCGTTATTTGCAAATTCATGTATAATTTCTTTTTCGACTGCTATTTGAAAAACTAAATATAAGTGCAGTTTTAGCCGACTTAATGTAGTAATATTAATATAAACACAAAACGTCTAAGACTTACATTCATATCTTCTGAGAAAATTTAAAGAAAAAACATTGTTTTTTTCAGATAAAACAGAATAACATATACAAAATAAAAATACGTATAACAGATCATAGTTTTTTTAACGATTACACAACACATC